GTGCTATTCCTGCCGGGGGGCCTTGGTGATTATTATCACGCAGATGAGACGTAGCATGTGAAGTGGCAGGATGAATATCATTTCGGGGAGATGGCTGTATTTCTTGCACTTGCCTGATGGGTTCCACAGGAATTGCGAGTGGCCCCAGAGGAGCCCGTGATGTACTGGGAATTACTTGTGCCAACAGAGCGGTAATTCCTTTCACAATTTCTGGATTCTGTAGAAGCGCCGCTACATCTGGTGTCACCGGAATATTAGTGACGCATCCTGCAGGCTGATTCGCAGGAGTATGGTTAACTTGTCCTGTGAGTTGATTGAGAATAATCGCATGTTCACTAGTCGTGGGATGATCTTGTCCTGACTGCGACATGGTTGAAACACATAAATAACAGTGGCAGAGTAGTGGATTAACCTCAAATACTATTGAGGCCCTTCCTCTAGTGCCAAACTGTTGTCGTATGGATTTGTAACAACACCATTAATGTGAATATGACACAGATTAAAGCGATAAAAAGCGATAATACGAGAATTTTATTGATTAGTCAGTAGTCGGTGTGTTTGTAACTGAGATGAAAATAGTACAAAATGTCGTCCGCCCTCACTGAGGGAATTTCAGGCTATATATAGTAACTTTTTGTTACACATTGTTCGAGTTCTCCAATCATTCAGGATTTGTGCGAAAAGTAGCTTTAAATGGGAGGTTTTAACAGTCGGGCCCACAATCATCATGACGATGGGCACGAGACATAAGGAGGTCGCGTAGGCGCCTTGTCACCTGCTTCGGTATTGATGAACTTGGTTACTTCCGAGGTGGGTTGTGGAGTCGGTAGACGGTGGTAAGATTTGAGGAAGTCGATGACTTGCCTGGAGTCAGAGAGGACCTAGAACGTGGGTTCTGACAGGCTGCCACGCATAGCCGGTCCTGAACATTATTTGGCCCTGGGCCAAATGCAAAAGTAGTGCCTCAAATATTTTATATATATATAAGTATTTATATAATATCAACAATGACCAAATAATTATTTTGCTAGACATATTAATTTGTATAATCTCTTATGTAAGGCACAACCTCATCACAGTAACTCACAATTCATCACATATATAAAGGTTATTGGTTATTGACGCACTTTCATCTTCCAATAGATAATACTTGAGTGCTTTTACAAAATGATATTAATATAAATTTCATGCACATCAAATAATTAATTGACCAACAAAAACTTTTTTTAGCGGCAAAAATATAGTTGCAGTTAAATAACTTAAAAAGTTTCTTTAGAATTTTTAGCGAAAAAATTTATCAATTGTATCACCATAATCAAAATTTCATGTAATATCCTTCTAATACCTAAACTAATTTGTTGCTAAATGTGGCATGGTTAAAAAAGTGGTTTTTATATGTCATAAGAATGATTTGTTTTGTAAGATATGTTAACTAAAGATCATTAATAAGTAAAACTATAATTAAACTCTTATAAATATTATCTTAAACACATAAAATAATATAAATTTATGATAGTATTAATTATTATTGATCTTCCATTAATTTATCATTATGTTTGAGCTATAAAAAAAATAACTCTCACAATACATAACTAAAAGGGGTAAAGCATATAAGAACTACAAATAAATCATAAATAGGTACAAAATAAATATTAAATATATTTAAATTTTATAAAGCAACCTTAATTAAATATAATCTATGAATTAATTGTAATGGATAGTCAACAAATAATAAAAATTGTTTAAGTAAATAAGATAAATATAGATAAAAGAATTAATGTAACTAGATAGTCTAGATGTCATAAATAATTAAGTTAAGAAGAAAAAAAAAAATAAAAAAAAAAAAAAAATTCTGGGTGGTTTTGGTGTGTGAGGGAATTATATTATGGAAAATATAAAAAATTAACTTATGGGATAACGTGCCAAACATTGGAGAGAATACGGATAATAAATCCTTGTGACTTGTGAATCTCTACTATTTTCAGTTCATGGAAACAAACTAGAGCATATATAGGCAGAGTATGGGCCGGTGCCCCTCCCAAGAATTGGGCCCATGGCCGTCGCCCAGGTAGCCCTGGCCCAAGGCCGGCCCTGCTGCCACGTCGATGGGAAGGAGCAATTCCGAGGTCACGTGTCATGTGTAAAAGAGAAAAGTTTCTGGAGCCATCCGACGTCTTTGTCATTATATTAAACCGTTGTCATTACGGTTGCGTTATTCGTAATCCGATTTACCCGGAATAATCTACGAATTACCAAGTCGGTGGTCTACAGAGATACGAATTACCAAGTCGGTGGTTAACAATTATAATATTACGCAAAAAATCCTATTTACACGACATATAAGATAAGAATAAGGATCCTATTTATTTTGGAGTTGGAGGGGATCGGATTAAGCAAATATAATTGTATTAATTTTTATCCGAACCAAAAGCCGAAGCATGTAATGTTGCCAAGTAAGCTTCCGAAGCGTGAGAGCCAGTCATTTAGGCTCAGCACCTTTTGAAATTATATTAAGAGAGGATATATAAAAATTGCTATTAATATTATGCCATTTAAATTAAATAGATGAGGACATCTACTTAATTCCTTAATAATAATTCTTATAATCAAATAAGTGGAGACACTTACTTAATTATTTACATAACATAAAATATGTCGAGCTTATTACTTTTTTTTCAAAAATAAATCATAAATAATCATTAATAATATCTAAATATGCTTAAAATGAAAATCATGAATTTTGGGGTCTTACAATACCTCTAGGCCGAGTTTCTATCAGGGCAGCCGAGAGCCATAGCTGAACTTGTAAATGAGCCTCTTTGCCTATGAAGTCATCATCGACCTGGTGAGTTTCAACCTTCAATGTCTTCGATCTCCGATCGACCTGTTGGTTTCCCTGGTTTAGTTAGACCACTTTTCAGGCCGACCTGACCCATTATGGTATCCCATATCAACGTCGAAGGTTGGTTCTAGCACAGAAGCTCCGATGCTCAAGTCTGTAAATAAGGATGATGATGGACTGTATGTATATGAGTCTAAAATATTCAGAGTGTGTAGGGGAATAATGATCATTGATCTATACACAATCAATGGCTGAGATTGAGTCTCATGTACTCATTTTAAGAAGTGGACTAATTTTCTCCACCTCTATATATATGTTTGTATATATGTATGTATGTGTGTGTGCGCGCGCGTGTGAGAGAGAGAATAGAGAGAATTATCCCTTGGACAAGCGAGAGTAAAACATATCAATTTAAATAATTAACTTTTTTTTTATTTTTTAATTATTAGTTGCAAGTTATATTTTATCATCTATACTTATATTAAAGGGGGTACTATTTACCAAATTAAGTAGTCAGAAAAGTCAACAACATTTATTGCATTACTATTTCCGTATTATACTATATAAAAGGATATTCTATTTACTACATTTACTATCCAGAAAAGTCAACTGTATTAAATGTCATTACTATTTTGGTATTATAATATTTTATTTATTTAATTAATTTATTTATTTGTTTTATTTTAAAAAGGTAAGTATAATAAAAAGATTTTAATAATAAAAAAATCAAATACCAAATAAAAATGTACACTTTGACTTATTTGATTATATTTGGTATTTGATTATACCAAATATATTCCTATTTAGTATATACATTAAATACTTACTAAAGTATTTATTTGTTTTATTTGTCAAAGTTAAGTATAGATTTGTTTATATTATCAAATTATAAAAAAATATTAAATCCATATTGTAAAAAAAATTCATATAATTTTATAACAATTCTACTACACTATTTAACAATATTCTTTTTTTATTATATATTGAAATAATAATTAAATATTATATGGTGAACAACAATAAGTAAAACTGTTACTTTCTCTTATATCAAGGGATAAATTTATATGCTAAAATTAAATTTTTAATAGTATAAATGTTTTAGTGAGATAATATATTAATTATTTTACGAGCTAGCCCTAACATGCTCATATTTAATGTTTGAAAAGATGTAGAAAAAAAAATTATAATAACTCTATTGTTTTTTAGACTTAAACGTTGATTAAAAGAGATAAAATTCTAAATTATTTAGACTTAAACGTTGATTAACACCCTGGATTGAGAGTTATATTTAGTAAAAATTTTTAATTGTAATAAAAAAATTATTTTTGCTATATTTTAGAATATCTTTAAATTCATTATAAAAAAAAGAAAAAAAAAACTACAATGAAAAAAGCAAGTCAGCTATATATCGATTTGTTGTACTCCTCTAATCACATTCACAATTTGGCTACAAGGAAAGGAAACTCATTTATTAAAATATTATTTTGTCAGTAGTCTTAATGTACAAGAGACTTTAAGACTCCACTTGAATATTATAAAACTTTTATTGAACATTGTACAATTTATTGCGTATTATAAACTTTTATTGAATATTGCATCTTATAATATAATATTATCCAAATAAATATATCTCATGCTTCGCACGTACTATATATATCTCGTACATCTTTCTTTATTCATGTATATAATTATAAGCCTGGATAAATAGCCTTAAAATTGTGCACCCCGTGCATCGCACGGGCTCTGTACTAGTTTATATTAAGAATCCAAATTTTTTTACTTCTTTCTTTTAATACAATTTTTTTTTCATGCATGTGCGTGGTTCACAGACATTATATTAATTATCGAATAAATTAATTATTTTATTTATTTTTAACAAAAAACATATCTCAAATGAAATAAATAATATTGCATACAAAATATTTTTTGTATTCAAAATAATAATAAAATCATTTTAAATTTTTACTAATTTTTTAGTTCACAATAAAAATATACTTTTTGTATTGAATTTTTGTTGACAATTAATTTGTTTTACCAAATACTCGTTTAGTTCATACTAGTTTTTATTACAGCCAAATTACACCCGGCGGCCCGCCACACCACCAACAAAAAAAGGAGTCCATTTCCGTCTTTTAAGATATCTCACCAAACACATACAAAAAAAACTGCTTTATAAAATGCCCTTCAATTAATTGCACCTACTTTCATTTCAACGTTGACCGCTAAAATTTTCTCTACAGAACTATCAGGCACTCCCCACGCCTTCAACAGCCCTCCAATGGCGGTCGCTGCCCACAACTCCCTTATTCTCAACAAACCCCTAATCTCTCAAACACATTCTCTCAGATCCACCCTCAGACCCATCTCCGCCGTCCACTCCCCGGATCCCACCAACCCCAAAACCCCCATTGCCCCCGCCGCCGCCGTCTCCACGTCCTCCGCCTCCTCCGTCTCCTCCGTCGCTGTGCAGACCAAGCCGAGATGGACGCTGGACAGCTGGAAGTCGAAGAAGGCGCTGCAGCTGCCGGATTACCCGAATCAAGACAACCTGGAGTCGGTTCTCAAAACTCTCGACGCTTTCCCGCCGATTGTGTTCGCCGGTGAAGCTCGGAGCCTGGAGGAGCGGCTGGGCGAGGCCGCCATGGGGAATGCTTTCCTCCTTCAGGGCGGGGATTGTGCCGAGAGCTTCAAGGAGTTCAATGCTAACAATATAAGGGACACCTTCAGGATCCTTCTCCAGATGGGCGCTGTTTTGATGTTTGGTGGCCAGATGCCTGTTATCAAGGTCGAATATTATACTCACTATCTAGTCCGTTTCATAAGATCTGGAATATGTGTTTTTCTTATTCTTGTACGTCATTGGTGTTGAATACGGTTTAGCCTTGGATTATGTTAAAATTTGGATTCTATCATTTTGTTTTTTTCCTTTCCTGGGTTGCTAGTTTCCAAATTGGAGGATTAAAGCACCTTTCTCTTATTCCATGTTTTCAATAATATGTAAATTTACTGAATTAGAAAAAAAAAAAACAAAAAAACAATTTAAATTGCCTTTTGGTGTAAACAAAAATTACACAGGTGGGAAGAATGGCGGGCCAGTTTGCAAAGCCTAGGTCAGATTCATTTGAGGAAAAAGGCGGCGTGAAGCTGCCGAGTTACAGGGGAGACAACATTAATGGAGATGCCTTTGATGAAAAGTCAAGGATTCCTGATCCTGATAGGATGATTAGGGCATATTGTCAATCGGCCACTACTCTGAATCTCTTGAGGGCGTTTGCCACTGGTGGATATGCCGCCATGCAGAGGGTCACACAGTGGAATTTAGATTTCACAGATAACAGTGAGCAGGGTGATAGGTATGCACTGTTGGATTTTTTTATTTCATTTATTCTTGTGGTGCTGTGGTTTTAGTTGGTTTCCAAAATTTAATGTAATGAAATTGATTGTTTGTTAAGAAACTCTTTAAATGATGCTTGTATATTTTGGACCCCTTAAGCATTTGCAAGCTCCTATAAAATGTATTGTTGAGCTTTTAGCCAAGAACATAAAGGAAAAAGGGAAACAGGGTAGGTTTGTAGTGCTTTTAATGGCATATATTAACAGCCATTGATAATCAAAAGAAACACCAAAGAAGAAATGATAGAAAAACAATGAACAAGGCTGCGGCTCAACTATTGCTATATTCGAATAATGACCTAGGAAACATGACTAAGAGTTTATATACAAAGCCTTGAGATATGACAGCCTTAGGATCATAACTAAGGGTTGAGATGATACCTAGAAACAAGACAAGAATTTCTAGAAAAGGCAAAAGGAATAAAAAGCAATATATGCATGAAAGGAGAACATGCATACGTCCGAAAATAGAAAATTTGTTGACTTAGTCTAATCTTAGTCTAATCATGCTATTATGCCCCCTTCAATTCGAGCGAGGATTTGGATTTTACTGATAGTTTGTCTCGAAGCCGAGCGAAGAATTGACCGGACAAAGGCTTTGTGAGGATATCCGCCGTCTGATCTAAAGCCGGAATGTGATGAACAGAGATAGTGTGATGATGAACTTGCTCTCGGATAAAGTGGAGATCAATGGCAGCATGTTTAGATTTTGAATGATGAACGGGATTAGCTGCGAGTAAAACCGATCCAAGGTTATCAACCCAACTGTGGAAGGATGAAGTTGAGGAACATTCAATTCAGACAATAATGCTCGAAGCCATATGAGATCACAAGTGGCAGCAGCAAGGCTGCGACATTCAGCTTCAGTGCTTGATCGAGCTATTGTTTTCTGTTTCTTGCTGCTCCAAGAGATTAAATTGCTGCCAAGAAATATGCAAAATCCTGAGGTTGATTTCCGATCATCTATATCTGTTGCCCAATCTGAGTCTGCAAAGGCAACAAGCTGCAGAGATGATGACCTAGTAATGTGAAGACCATAGTCAATGGAGCCACTTAAATATCGCAGGAGCCTCTTCAAAGCCTTCCAATGTGTGTCAAGAGGGTTCTGCATGAATTGACTGCACTTGTTAACCGAGAAGGCTATTTCAGACCTTGTTATTGTAGCATATTGTAAGGCACCAATGAGTTGCCTGCACAATTTTCCATTCTCAACTGGCTGCCCCTGATGTCTTGATAAGCCTGGAGTAGATACCATTGGGGTGCTGAGACTTTTACAATTGCTCATGTTAGCTTTCTTAAGAATGTTTTTGATGTATGAAGTTTGGCTTAGGAAAAGACCATCAGAGGTTCTATCAACTTCTAAGCCCAGAAAATAGTTAAGACTACCTAGGTCTTTGAGAGCAAAATGATTTTTGAGAACTGAGACAACATGATCAATCATTTGAGTGCTAGAACCTGTGATGAGTAGATCATCAACATATGCTAAGATAAAGACTGTGCAATCCTTGACATTCATGATAAATAGAGAAGAATCTGACTTTGAGCATTGGAAACCAAGAGAACAAAGGACATTGCCAAGTTTCAAAAACCATGACCTTGAAGCTTGTCTAAGACCATACAGGGATTTCTTGAGCAAACAAACCATGTTTTCCCCTCTTTCATATTCAGGTGGTTGAACCATATAGATATCAGTGTCCAAATCTCCATTTAAAAAGGCATTGTCAATATCTACTTGTCTGATGGGCCAAGACCTTGTGACAGCTATGGAAATAACTGTTCTAATTGTTGCTGGTTTCACCACAGGGTTAAAAGTCTCTGTGAAGTCTAGGCCTGGTACTTGGCTAAATCCCTTGGCTACTAGCCTTGCCTTGAACCTTGATACGGTTCCATCTGCATTCTTCTTTAACTTAAAGACCCATCTGCATCCTATAGGCTTTTTACCTGGTGGAAGTGCAGTCAAGTCCCAGGTATGATTAGCTATCAGGGCCTCATACTCTTGATCCATTGCTTGCTTCCAATTCTCATCTTGCAGTGCATCATCAAGAGTTGATGGTTTGATGTAGTCATCTGACTGTTTGACACAAGAGAAGATCTTCTTTTTGGATATTCCAGCCCTTCCTCTTGTTATCATGGGATGAACATTCTCTGCATGCACATTGTTAGGAGTAGCAGCATGTATAGGTGCAGTATTACTACCACTATTAATTGGTAAATCTATGTAAATCTGTCCAATAGGTATTCTAGGTGATGAATGAGGTGTAGAGTTTGTAGATGTTCTATGATGAGATGAGGAAGGCTGGGAATTTGGAGTGGATGTTCTGTGATGAGATGAGGATTGCTGAGAGTTAGGAGTGTTGAAACTGGTATGATGTGTGTTGGGGTTATGAGGTGAAGGTGGTATGTGAGGTATTGAAGGAGTTTGCTGTAAGATGGGTGGAAAAGAATTATAGCTGAAGTCAAGATGGTTTTGGTTTGGCAGGCTATCAAGTTTGTTTTTGAAAGGAAAAGTTTGCTCATCAAAGGTCACATGTCTGGATACTATGACCCTTTTGTTTGGCAGCAAGATTTTGTATCCTTTGTACTGATCATTATATCCAATGAAAACACTCAATTGGCTTTTAAAGTCAAGTTTGTGCTTGTTGTAAGGTTTCAAATAGGGATAGCAGGCACAACCAAAGACTCTCATGTGATCATAGTTTGGTTTTAAGCCTGTTAAAGCTTCAAAAGGAGATAAAAAGTTCAAGACTTTACTGGGAACTCTATTCAGCAAATACACAGCAGTAGAAAATGCATGGTCCCAAAACCTTTTAGGAACTGATGAGTGAGCTAAAATGGACAACCCAGAGTTTACTATATGCCTATGTTTTCTTTCTGTCATGCCATTTTGCTCTGTAGGGACATGACATTCTGTGAGATATGCCATTTTGAAGGAAAAAATCAGATAAGGGTTTATATTCTGTCCCCCCATCACTCTGAACAATTCTGATTTTCTTAGAGAATCTATTTTCAACTAGAGTTCTGAAATGGATAAAGGCATTTGGAGCATCAGATTTGTTCTTCAAGAAGTATATCCATGTGAACCTAGTTTTGTGGTCAACAAAGTTGATATAATAACTATGTCCACTCTCAGATTTAATAGGACATGGCCCCCACAAATCAGTATAGATCAATTCAAGAACATCATAACAATCAGTAAGAGAGTCATTAAAAGGAAGTTTATGACATTTTCCCATAAAGCAGGAAGAACACAAATGTTTGCCCTCATTGTCAACAAAACCAATATTACAGCTTCTAAGAGCCTTTTTTACAATATCAAAGGATGAATGTCCTAATCTATTGTGCCAAAGGTCTAAGCTAAACTTATTCTTGAGAGAGGCTGAATGTGTCTGAGGTTGAAACTTGGAAAGAGGAGAAGGGACTTCAACTTTACTTCCTCTAGCAGGCTTCATATCAAAGCAATATAATCCATTAATAAGCTTGCCTTTGAGAAGGGTCTCCCCTGTGGCTTGATCCTTAAGAAGACAAAAGAAAGGGTGAAATTCAAAGTATACCTTGTTATCTCTAGCAAATTGTGACACACTCAAGAGGTTTTTAGTTATATGTGGAACACAAAGGAGATTATTAAGGACAATGGAATGGTTTTCATTGGAGACAGATCATAGATGAACCAACATGAGTGATAGTCATACCTGCTCCATTTCCCATCTCAGTTTTGTCATCACCATGGTACTCAGTTGCAAGATTGAGGTTGTTGAGGTCTGCAGTGATATGATTTGTTGCTCCTGAATCTGGCAGCCATTGAGAGTCTTGGAGACTTTGACCTGCTTCTGAGCCACTAAAGCTGCTACCATTATAAGAACTCAGATTGGCCATGTTTGCCATGTTTTGGTAACCTTGCTGGCCTATGAAATTGTTTGGCTGTGAATAGGTATAAGACTGGTCAAACCGGTTGTAGCATCTATCAGCTGTGTGACCATCTTTTTGGCAGATTTGGCATTTAACAAAGCTATTTCTTCCACCTATCCCTCTATAGTTGGTGTTTCTGCCATACCTACCACCTCTGTTACCTCTTCCTTGGGTAGATCTACCTCTAGTGCTTTGGTTGGGGATAAAACCTCCTCTTTTGGGTGCTTGTTGTGATGCCACATTTGCAAACCCTCTGAATCCATCTCCATTAAGAGAGCTGACAGTGTTCCTTTCAATTCTACTCTCAAAGGTCAATAAGAGTGACTGGGCTTCTCTAAGTGTGCAAGGTGGGATCCTTGAATTGATTGACACAGAAACCGGATCATATTTAGATCCCAAGCCATCAAGCATGGATGAGATGTGGTCATCCTCAGTGTATGTGTTGCCAGCTGCTGCCAATGCATCATAACAGGCCTTTATCCTGTTAAGGTATTCTCTCATTGTTTGAGATCCCTTCTTAAGGTTGTGCAGTTGCGACTTGATTTGCATGATCTTGGCCCTGGATTGAGTTGTAAAATCTAACTCGAGTGCTTCCCAGATCTCAAAGGAGGTGTTGAGGCCCACTGTGTTGACAAGGATCTCTTCAGTAAGAGAGCTCAAGAGCCAAGAGACCAACAGTTGGTCTTGTTTCTGCCATGTGAGAAAGAGAGGGTTTGGGGTGTTAAGAGCTCCATTTTCATCTGTGATGTATCTGTTCGGTGGAGATGTGGTGCCAAGAACAAAACTTTCAAGACCATAGCCTTTTACTGTAGCAAGAACTTGATGTTTCCATACAAGATAGTTACTTTCATTTAACTTTACTGTGACCAGCTGTGCTTGTGGCTGTATGACAGATGGTGGCTGACCCGAGCTGGCTGAATCAGAGGAAGAGCTTTCCATTCTCAGTGTAAAAGAAGAACAAGATACGAGAAGAACAAAAGATAGATGAAATGTAAGCTGAAAATGAAAAACTCAGATCTGGAGCCAATGATGATGAAAGAGACAGGTCAAGATCAACCTGCTCTGATACCATAATGGCATATATTAACAGCCATTGATAATCAAAAGAAACACCAAAGAAGAAATGATAGAAAAACAATGAACAAGGCTGCGGCTCAACTATTGCTATATTCGAATAATGACCTAGGAAACATGACTAAGAGTTTATATACAAAGCCTTGAGATATGACAGCCTTAGGATCATAACTAAGGGTTGAGATGATACCTAGAAACAAGACAAGAATTGCTAGAAAAGGCAAAAGGAATAAAAAGCAATATATGCATGAAAGGAGAACATGCATACGTCCGAAAATAGAAAATTTGTTGACTTAGTCTAATCTTAGTCTAATCATGCTATTAGCTTTCAAATGTCAAATTTCGCTTGTTATACAACATGTTTACTTAGTATCTAAAGCACTGTGTTGCCTAATTTATGTTGTCTATCTTGATTTCTATGTTGTTATAACTTCATCACCTAAACCGTCTTTGAATCTATTCAATTTTTCACTTCAATTTGAACGAAAGAACTAATGTCCACAGAATTTCTCGATGCTGCTACAAGTTATGCTAAAATTTAGTTACTTATTGTAAAAGAAAATGTGTTTTCTTTTCAAGAGTACTACTATTACCACAATCCATGCGATTGATGCTTTATAGCTTTCACCAGATGTATTTGTCTGGCTGAGGTACATACTAATGCAGGTACCGTGAGCTGGCTCACCGAGTGGACGAGGCACTAGGTTTCATGCAAGCGGCCGGGTTCACAATGGACCATCCCGTAATGAAAACCACTGAATTCTGGACGTCTCACGAGTGCTTGCTCTTGCCTTACGAGCAATCCCTCACACGTCTCGACTCCACCTCGGGCCTTCACTATGACTGCTCGGCCCATTTTCTCTGGGTCGGTGAGAGAACCAGACAGCTAGATGGGGCCCACGTCGAGTTCCTCAGGGGCATTGCTAACCCGCTTGGCATCAAGGTGACCGTCTGATGTGGCTGTGNATCAGCTTTAATTATTTTATTTTAAATATTATTTTAATATATCCACTAACAACTAACCATACCACCTTTTTTCAAACTTAACTATAGTTAAAAAAAAAAAACCAATTTTTTACTAGTTGAATTCATATCCAATCACTCCCTTAGTTTTGTTTTCGTTTATAGTTAATTTTAATACTACTAGTTTCCCATGAATGTTAAATTGTTTTCTTCCACCTATAGGTGAGTGATAAGATGGATCCGAATGAGCTCGTGAAGCTTATCGAGATTCTGAATCCTCACAACAAACCAGGAAGGATAACGATCATCACGAGAATGGGGGCCGAGAACATGAGGGTGAAACTTCCTCATTTGATCAGGTCCGTTCGTCGGGCAGGGCATATTGTGACATGGGTTTCGGATCCTATGCATGGCAACACCATCAAAGCTCCCTGTGGTTTGAAAACTCGCCCTTTTGACTCTATCAGGGTAATTTTGCTCAATTTATTACCACCCATTGTGTTATTTTGTTTCTTCACGCAACAATCACATGATTGAAGCATTAGTTGCGTTGGTGTTACAAGATGTAGCTAAGTACATCTTTTAGATGGCATCATTTATTGTTTGGGTGGTTACCTAGTTTAAAGCTTCTTGGCGTTTAACCAGATTCTAAGATTTTCCTACTAAACTATATCGCAAAGTTAAGTCTTAAAAGAAAAGTAGATTCTAAATGAAGTGGGTGTGGTTGAGATTGTATGAGATTGTCAAGAATTGAATTACAATCATTTTTTAGTTCATCATTTGGTAGTTGTGCGTCTTTATGGAAAGAGTTGGTTTCCTCAAAGAATATTATGGTGGTATGTGACAACTATTTCCTTGATTAAATTCTCTCTCTCGCTCTGCACACGCAGACACAACTGATAAATCATAATAGTATCACATCCAACGTATTAGGAAATAATGTACAACCGATTCATTTTCCACACACATGTGAGCATACATTTAGTAAAATCCTAAGAGAAGGAAGGATTTATGATCACACTCACAATTTATTCACTCAGGCTGAGGTAAGAGCTTTCTTTGACGTCCACGAGCAAGAACGAAGCCACCCAGGCGGAGTGCATTTGGAGATGACGGGCCAAAATGTCACAGAGTGCATAGGAGGATCAAGAAACCTAACGTTTGACGACTTAAGCTCGAGATACCACACCCATTGTGACCCTAGGCTCAATGCCTCCCAATCCCTTGAGCTCGCATTTATTATTGCTGAGCGACTTAGGAAGAGGAGGCTCGGCCGCAATTAGAAGCTCTACATTGGGTGGCGGGCTTTCGTAATTTGTGTTTGCCTTTCTTCAAAATGTTTTTTTTTAAAAGGTTGTGTTGTATGTATGTGTGTACTGCGGTTTAGAACAATGGCGTGACAAGAAATAAAAATCTTTTATATATTTCCATCGGGTGGTGGCCATGTGTTTTTTATATTTATTTTATTTATGGAGGAAAAGACCCAGCGTGTTCACTCTAGATTTGCGACTTTTGTTTGGTGTATTTGGGTGGGACAATAGGAAGGGAAATTTTGTCAGGATTTGAAGGAATATTTTTTCATTAATGAAATGAAAATATGGTGTGGGAGTATCGATGATTATTTGATGAAACGTAATTGATGTAAGTAATAATGATTAATACAAAATTGCATTTTATGGCTTGTAACTATGCGTGTGTGCAAATGTGGACAATTTTTTTTTTGGTTTTGCAAAAGTGTCTTGAAATTTGTTAAAACTGCTCAATTTTGGCACAAATTTCGAATTTTAACAAGTTACTGTTCTGTTTTGTCACATGAAAAATCGGTCAAATCCGGTAACTTGTAGGTAAATTGGGCACGAATTTCGGGTTTTAACAAGTTTCAGGGCATTTTTGCAAAACCAAAAAGAAGCTGTCCACATTTGCCACACAAGCATAGTTACAGGGCACAAAATGCAATTTTGCCTAATGATTAATTATAATTTGATTGAAACGTAGTAAACTAAAAATTGATAATTACAAATGGTGTCCAAGCAACTTGGATTGGGTTTTCACGACTTGATCTGATCTGCTTGTAGGCCTGCCAAACGGGCAGGGAGAGGTTCTCAACGTTGGTACTCAATAGTAATAATTAATTATAATTTTTTATGAAACGTAAAGTGATATAAGTTATAATGATTAACTGTAATTTGATTGAAACGTAGTAAACTAAAAATTAATAATTACAAATGGTGTGCAAGCGACTTGGATTGGGTTTGTACGACTTGATCTGATCTGCTTGTAGACCTGCCAAACGGGCAGGGAGAGGTTCTCAACGTTGGCACTCAATAATAATAATTAATTATAATTTGATTGAAACGTAGTAAACTAAAAATTGATAATTACAAATGGTGTGCAAGCGACTTGGATTGGGTTTACACGACTTGATCTGATCTGTTTGTAGACCTGCCAAACGGGTAGGGAGAGGTTCTCAACGTTGGCACTTTGACAAGAATTCAGTCCAAAATTGTGAAGACGATAAATAATATTATAAAGCTCTGTAAGTATTTAGAGTATGTGTGTAGAGAATGTAAAGTGTAAATGGACATATCTCACCCTTTTATATAGGGGTGTTATTTTGTTGCCCGAGACTGCCCGGATGGGCTGCCGAAAATGCCCGAGCTACCTGTTCGAACTTCCGTATCCTGTTAGGACACGTGACTCAATTAATGTGTGGTTCTTATCTTAATAATATTCCTTCTTATCCATTAGTCTTCCGTATTTGACGGTCCAACCATACGATCACCTAGACCTATCATGCGAAAGATTGTCTTCCCGACTAGGCTCATGTAAAATGTCTCCTAGGTTAATCCTTCGACCAACATAACTCCAGATCGAGTTTCTATCAAGCCATCAGAGGGCCCTAGCTCGACCTGTCAGCGATACCTCTTTATATGTTGTCGTCGTTGACCTGAGGACTCCGTTCGATCTGTAGCACCGGTCGACCTATCTGTTCACCTAATCCAGTTGGTTGGTTTCTCGGGTCTAATTGACTCGGTAAGTTATCTCATATCATCTGGTACCCCCCTAATCTGGTCGAGGTAAGAAAACTCGATCTAAGAGTATATTTGACTGTCTTTGGTCCTGTTTGGTGAGCCACTACCTCAATCATTCGACCATGCTGTTTAAATTTCCCTCAATTCTGAAGCAATGTTTTCGACACCCGACAGAGGTCTTGAATTCAAATTTTAAAATTGAGATCTCTGCCACTTGTCAGGCCAATCAGTCTAAATGTCCTGTCGACATGATCGTCTCGTAGTTCGTGCAATCCTCGTGCAGTGTACCCATTAAATGTTACCTTAATGGCGACCCTTCGATTTAACTTTAATCCGACAGTTGAAAACACTTTGTCTTTTCAGCTTACTCAGCCTTAATCCTAACCGTTGATTTACACATTGATCCAACGGTTAGGATCGACATGTCCCTTCGACTCGCTTTTTAGTCTTAACCGTCTGTTCGACTTGATCCAACGACCTACCTCTTCAACTCATCTTTTCAATCCTAACCGTTCGTTTTGACCCCAATCCAACGGTCAAGGTCGATTGACCTTAGAGATTCTTCCCCATATACAAATACGCCCTTTTGCCAAAATTTTCAAGCTTTTCCACCTTTGCTCAAATCTCGTTGCTAATATATTCTTGCCTTCTGCAATCAAAGCTAATTCTCTGTCGTCAACCACCGTACTTTGCAATTTCTAGGACCAACTGTAGTCAACCATCGTACTTTGCAATTTCTAAGACCGATCAATACTGAACCATGGTGTCGCTGTCGATGAGTAAGTTTCCTTGTTTATCAATTTGCATGTTTAATCTTTGCTTTCAATTTTTTCCCCCATCCGCTCATGAATTCTCTTTTCAATTTACCCTTTTCAAACATGAAAAATTTCCTTTTTTCCCTTTCGATTTAGATTCTTATGCCACCAGTGACTTCGACGCTCCCTCAACTTGCTGAAATATGATCCCACCGAGATCTTCTGCCACCTCCTCTTCTATCTCTCTCCAACCCATTCTCCAACCTAATCCGTTCTCCTTTGCACTTGCTTCTTTACACTCCACTCCATCGATCCCCCATCCGGGTTCATCCAGGCGTCGACTTCTGCAGCTAGTCGATGAGACCGATGAAGAGATCGAGGTTGAATCTCTGCCTCGACCTGACCCCCAAGCCCATTTTTTATCCGTTCGTAGGTCTAGCGACTCTACCAGGGTCAACGATGAGTAGCTCCACCTCTTTCTCGACCGTAGTGGATTGCTTGAGGATTAGAAGTACGTCGTTCCCCAACCGTCTGACATGTACGAGTACCCTCCGCCTGGTTGCTACACCTTTTTTTAAAACTAGGTCAAGCTTAGACTTAGATTCCCTCTTTGCCAAGATCGCCACCTCTGCCAGATTTTTGGTTTTTTTCTTAACCAGCTTTCCTCTAACTCCATCCTCCACCTTGTCTCCTACCGCATTTTTTCTTTCTGTAGACTAGGTTGTATTGATTCTGACTTCTTCTTTTACTGCTATGTAGCTAAAGAGAAAAGAGATGGGCTCTACCTTGCATACCGCAATAAGCCCAATTTTTTTTATGCTCCTAAGTGGAAACAAAGATTTTTTTATGTTCGACCTTCTTCTCGTCTTCCCTTCTCTTCAAACCCTTGGCTTGAGGCCGTCCTTATCAAACACCATAATCCCTACCGCAATCCGACCTATGACCTCATGATCCATACGTGGAATGCGGCTCTTGTTTACTCTTCGACTATATCTACCCGCTACCAGCTCCTATTTCACTATGGTCTTTTCAGGAGACCTCACTCTCCTTTACCGAAGGCGAGCTCGATAAGCTCGAGCTTGAGTTATTTATATTTGGTGTACTATCCATTAATTTTGTTGTCGTGTTACTGGTCCTCTATTTCTTTTGCAAAGAACATACTAAAGACAAAGGTTTCCCCCACGGCCTCCACCGAAAAAGGCCAAGGTTTTTCTAAGGAGGGTGTCATGCCATACAGGGCGGAACAGGTCGATAAGACCAAAACCAAATCAAAGGAGCCATATTCTCCTTCCTCCAACAAAGACCTCTCAAAGAAGAGGTCGAACTCATAGACCACTGGCGCAAGCTCGAAGAAGGCTCGCGTCGAATAGGATGACATCAAGGTTGTCCCTCCTCGCACCTTGGTCGCCAACATTGATGGGGCGGCCATCAGCTCATACCATATGAAGGTCTTACCTTATAAGGATACAGACCACTGGGGTTCCGACCTCCATGGCCAGTCCAACTACGCCGCAAGGACCTCTGCTTAATTAGGTATATTATTCTTATACTTGACCTTTTAGTTGTGTTTAGTTGGATAATACTGTGAAACAACTTCTCTTTGCAGCTCCTCTCCGCCAAACTCTCTATGCTCGACCAGAATATGGCTTGCTCTGGTCGCTCCATCAAGGAGCTTAAGAAGGATAATCGAACCCTCTATGAGGAGAATAAGAGACTGACTATGGTAAAGTTCGACCTCTCCCAGGAGTTTTCTCAAACTGGTAGCCGCTTGAACGATGAGCTTTGGGAGAAGAAGAAAGAGTTGACCCAAGTGTTGGCTCGACACTATAAGGAGGTCAAGGCTGCCACGCTCAAGGGTGTGGCGATAGGTCAATGAAACCTGTTCCAAACAAGTCTTAGGCAGACTCTCCTTGAGGATTATAGCAAGCAAGTGGTTGAAGAGTTCTGCCGGTCTCCAAGCTTCTTGTTGAAGCTCTGCCCTGCTCCGAGAAGCTCTTCAAAGGTCGCTCTAGATGAGGCTGAGAAGCAAGTCCAGGCACCAAACTTCACCGGGGTACTCGACCGTGAGGCTATCGTAGACCAGCTCCCCGATTATCCTGACGGTTATGAAGGTGCTCTCAGTCTTCCTGCCAGCGATACCTGGTGGACCCAGACTTTCGAGCAGTGCTTAGCTCGTCGCAAGCTTGAGACTAAGTTTGCTCTACCTGTTCTTCATGTCGCGCCGTCACCTCCCCCTCCTTCAGATCAGCCCGAAGGGACTCAAGTGGTTTTATACCAAGTTGATAATGTTGTGCCTCAAGCTAATCAAACGGCTCCTGGGCAGACCTCTGAGTAGCTGACCTCCTCGACCACTCCTGGGCAACTCCAAATTCTTTGCAATAATGGCTTGTTGTAACTTTATTTTGTTGATGAACTTTTTGCTTTTGATGATTGACCATTGTAACCAACTTTATTATCTTCAAATAAATGTGTTTTACTTTATGACTTGAGTCATTAAATTGAAGTCACGCGTACCAACTTGCCTTCGAGGTCTTCAAGATAACCAGGAAAATTTGGTAATCAGTTTACTCGATCTGCCACTGAGGTTTCCAATAATACCTTAGCACTTAAAGATTCTAAGTTTATGAGTAAAAAAACCTTAATTACTCGACCTGCCGCTGAGGTCTTCCAAAAATTATTTAATAACTTAGAATGTTTTTTGCAATTTTGACAATGGTCACTTTAATCGACCTGGCACTAAGGTCTCTAAAATAATTCAACATAGAAGAATATTGAGATATGAGTAAAATCACCTTAATTACTCGAGATGCCTCCGAGGTCTCCCAATGTGATCCAATACTTAGCAAAAAAATGTAACTATAAGGAAAAAAATCATTTCCATCGACTTTCCTGTAACGTCCCGCTTATTTAATAAAAGCATAGTATTCTTGCATTTCAGTAATAGCTCGACTTTTTGTAATTCAAATCGTTTTAATCCAAAAATCAAATTAAATAGATGTCCTTGTCTCTCTAATTTGCCAGATCAAAATGAAGATTAAGTAGATATCCTTGTCTACTTAATTTTTGTAATTGCTAATCATTTAATTTTTCTCCTAAGTTTAGCTACGTCTTAAGCATGCCTAAGATTTCAAAATTTTTCCTAAGTATAAGTACTAAGCTCGGCTATATTTTTCTAAGACCAAGTTGAGCCAATTGTATCCTAAGTGATCTCGACCACTCTATTTTATGCCTAAGTACCAAATCAAATTTTTTTGCCTAAGTGCTTTTGTGCCCTAAGTCATTCGAAATTTTCCTAAGTGCCTAAAATATTATCTTACCAATTAAATCCTTGTAAGGCTCGACCATTTCTTAAGGCAAGGACTAAAAAATTTGAATTTTCAACTCCTTCACCAAACCTTGGACTCGGTCATGCAGCCTTCTACAAACTTTCCCCCATTTTAGGCCTCAACCACACGTGTTGCAGCAACCTCCACACCATCTATTCCCTCAGCAGCCGCCAACTACCCAAAAGAGAAGCCATAAGGCCAACAAGAACCCTAAGACTCGGGCATACCATCCCAACGTCCCTTTCCTACCTCTTAACCCTATGTTGTAAATATTTTTCCAGAGAAGAATCAAAAGATTCGAACACCGGGTCGTGTCTCTCGAGGAAGGTCAGCCGGATTGCTTTGCACGTTTATTCAAACACAAATAAAATAAATAAAATTCCTAAACATTCTAATTCAAATTTCTGGTTTGATTTTTGGTTAACAACTACGAATATAAAAACACAAATTCATAAAGTAGAGTAAAAGCAATCAATCAACTAGAATAAGGTAGCTAGGGAATCGGAGATATTAATCTTAATTTGATATGCAATTATCGGGCAAGTGATTGTTCGACTAAGTGATTTGAATAACTTGTTCGTTCAAGTATTCTTCCTCAATAACTCCTCATAACAAGAGAACAAACTTGGATGACAAATTAACAAGTCATTTAACACCTAGACAATACAGTTACGAACAAGCCTAGCTTACACGAGCCTATTTCGACCGACTCCTCCCCTTTCGGTTCCAAGAGTCGATTAATGTAGACTAAAGGGTGATTAATCAACTACTCCGTTAAGAATTAAAAACATCAAGCACGAATTTATCGAATTCAATCTAAACAATTGCAAGTTGAAGTGTCACCCTTCTATAATTCTCAAAACTCAAGCTAAATAATTGAAATACCTTAATAAAAGATTAACTCGCATGAGAAGAACAATCAATGAACACGACAATTACAATCAAAATCAAATCATTAATCCCCTATCCCTAGCATAATGATTTAGCCATTCATAATCAAATTATCAATACCAATCACGATAATCACAGCACACACATCCATGGGTTAAATGAATAGAAATGCTTACGATTAAATTGAAATTGAATGTTGAATCCGAAATACGAGATTAATCCGAAAGCCATAAAGAAATTCGAGTCTAGATGAAAAGTTATGAAGAAAAGGTGAAGAACGAGTGTAAAGGACGATGGTAGGGTTTCTGTGACTTTTCTTGGCATAGAAAGATACTGGTCGCAATCCCCCGATCTCATATTTATATCCAGCATGGCGTCATGGCGTGGCAAGGTGGGCGTGGCGCGGCAGGAGGGCGCTCCGCGGTGCGGCATCATGGCACGGCGTGGTGAGGGCAGGAGCAGATCCTTTGTCCAGGTCTTGGTGGCTTTGCGGCGCGGGGCATCGAGGTGGCGCGGCGCGGAGGCTGGGACGGTGCGGGCCTGGGCACCACGTGGTCCATGTCGCACTACTTTACGTTTTATGCTCGTATACGCTCATTTGGACTCGGAATTCGATTCCGTTTTCTCTAGTGTGATGCCAACGAACTCTTCTACGAAATTTTTCTCGTCAAATCAATTTTCTCCTCCATATCAAAATCGAACATGGACTCAACCTACACACCACAAAAAATGAGAAAAATGCAGAAAACCGGGATACATCCGACAAACACAGAAAAGACTCAAAGTAAGGGAAAACACGCAATAAACTACAAAACGAACTAAAAACCAACTAATGACCTAATATGGGGGGAAAAGAAAGGAAAAATAATCACGAAAAATGCAACAAAAATGGGACAAACACCTTAACTTCTACATATTTAACCCCCTTCAAGGTCCAAGATGCCACTTTTATTTTCCTCAGCAAAATTTTCAAAAATATTCGAAGTCCCAAAAAGAATTTCCAAGAGCAACAATCCCTTAGGAAGCACATCTAGACCTTTACTTGAGCACCTTCCTGAGAGCAGTCCACCGGCGACCATGCACGCGAGCCGCCACGCCCGAGGCCAGCACCTAGAGCAAGACGGCAGCAGGCTGCGCACCACTGAGAGCAAGAGAGTTGAGCTTAGCCATAAAAAATTGAGCCATCCTAGCACCGGAAAAAGGCCGAGATCCCCAACCATCAACAAAAGCCGAGCCACTTCCAACCTCGACCTGAGCCCTTCTTTTCCATTTTTTTGTTATATTTCCTAAAGAAGGTAAATGGCTGAGCTCCTTACCCCATTTTATGGCTGAAATATGAGCTTAAGTTTTAGTTTTTAAACAGTTAAAAGGGCATGCTTAAGATTGGTTAATTTGGAAGAGTTAAAGAGATGCATGTTGTGTTATTGTTTGGCCTTGTTTTTAGCATGTGATTGTTGAACCTTTTAATGTGTTTATCAAGTTGAATATGTGTTATTTAGCAGGTTCATGTTCAGTTGTATTGGCATGCTAGACTTAGTTAAAAAGTTGAAGAGAATAAGGAGAGACTTGTTGTGTTTGTGTTTTACCTTATGCCTTATTTTTGTTGAGCTTTATTGAGGAGTTTTGCATGCTGAAAATGTGTACTTTCAGAAGTTTAAAGTTCAGTTGTTGTGGACTTTTGAGTTGTCTTTGAACTTGAGAAAGAAAGAAAGAAAAGGGTGAACATAGACCATGGCTCTAGGTTGCATAAATTCTTAGCTTTTGGCTCATTAGGACTTTGTAAAATAAGTGATTTATTGAGACTGAGGTTTTCCAGAAAAGTGTTGGTTTGGCTGGCGAAAGTCGCCGGACAAAGGTCTGGTTGGGCCCAACAGTGCAGCAGGCTGCCAGTGACCTAGCATCCTCGCGCCCAGTGTGCAACAGATAACTGCGCGTTCCATCCGTTGTAGCACGCCCCGCGCCTGTGCGCCGTCCAGCACTCCGCACGTTGTCCCTACAGCTCCCGCACCTCAGCGTCCAGTGTCCTGTAGACGTGCCCAGTGCCCGTGTGTCGTTCCGCAGCGCCTGTGGGCATCACTACAGCGTACCATGCCCCGCAGTGACCTCGCGCCGTCCTTCCAGAGCTAGTGCACGCCCGTGCGTCCCAGCAGCCTCGTGCCAGCGTGCCCGAACGCCAGCAACCCGCAACGCACTTTAGCTACCCGCAGTAGGCCCGACCAGGCCAGCAGTGAGTTCCAACCGACCAAACCTAGGTCTCAGCAGACTACACCGAGCTGGGGCAACCGCAACAACTGGTCGGCCCGAGCGACCAACGAGCCGAACCGGGGTGGACCGACAGGTTAGATACAGTTAAAAAGTAGAGTTTTTCCGAACCTTAGAATTTATTCGAGAACTCTAGACTAGCCTAGAAAAGTCGAGACAAAGAGTTTTTATTTGTTTTTATTCGTCTTAATTGCTTGATTTAATCTGCAAGTTAATCAAAACCAAATTCTCCAATAATTTTTTAAGTTAGAATAATTTAATAAATTGTAGGTTAAGAAGAGTCGAGCCCTCACGAAGATCACGTGCATATCATTTCATTCATTTAGCATCAGTAGTTAAAGGTGGGGTGTTTCCATGCTATATCTTATTCGTTATAAACGCGAGGTATTATGTTTTATGTATGTGATGTGTTACTTGCCGCTTGCGATGGGTGATGTTAGTGCACTATGGATGAACAATATATGCATTTTGTATTAACTAAATATGTACCATGAATTAACTAAATATGAATCATTATTTAATAAATTTATTGTTATAATATGCATTTCGTATTAACTAAATATGCATCATCAATAAACTAAGTATACATCATTAATGAACTTATATGTATCATGATATATTTAATTTAAATATAATTAATGTGCATTATGAATGAACTAAATATGTATATCGTTTGAACTAAATATGCATCATGTATATATTAATTTAAATACAACAAATACGCAACTATAGTATTTTTTTAACTCCTCAGCAAGCGCTCATTTTCAAAAAGCGATATTGGAAACAAAATCTCTTTCTATTCGATCGTTACACATTTTATCCAACTGGACAAACTAAATCAAAGATATAAGTTGGA